TATTTATTTATTTATGTACGAGATTTGAACTGGGGCAACCTGCTTTAGTGGATCAATTCTCAAACTGGGCCCTTCATGGGTAGAGTTTGCATGTTCTCTCCGTGCATGCATGGGTTTTCTCTGGGTACTCCAGTTTCCTCCCACAGACCAAAACATGCATGTTGGGCTGATTGGTCTAAATTGTCCCTAGGTGTGAGTGGTTGTTTGTCTCGTTTCTGTCTATGTGACCCTGTAATGACCCTGGCCAGGGTGTCCCTCGCCTCTCGCACAATGACTGCTGGACATAGTCACGAGGGACCACCATGACCCAGAAAAGAATTAGCAGTTAAAGATAATGAAAGGATGGAAGTCCTGATGCATGCTCAATAATCCACGTAGAAAAATCTAAAAAAAGTTAAATCTGGTCCTCTGGACATTCAAAAAACAAAACTAAGCAAAACAACAAAAAAGAAATGTAGAAATGTAGAAATGTAGAAATGTTTCATCTTTCATCCGAAAGACTTCCTCAGTCTGAGGTGCTGCATTCAGCTCAGTCTTATAAATAGCACCTTCTCAGAGTGGATCAACCAGTTTGCTGCTGACAACCAAAACCAGCTGCTCACAAGAAAGACCATCAGCCTAACAATGGATCATTAGCACACTGATGGCTGTTTACTATTCACAGGAGGCTGACTGATACTAGCAACAACAGCATTGTAAGAGGGGGACAGTTGAACCCGGAGGCCTCCACCCCGGTTTAATGATGGACGATTTCTTTTCACAAAGATGGCCTCCTTTACTCCTCTCTCAAACCATTGTTCCTCTCTATCCATGATGTGAACATCTTCATCCCTGAAAGAGTGACCACTGGCCTGGAGATGAGTGTAGACCGCAAAGTCCTGGCCTGATGTTGTTGCTCTTTTGTGCTGGGCCATCCTTTGGTCCAGTGGCTGTATAGTTTCCCTGATGTAAGACTGATCACAGCCCTCCTGACACTGAACAGCATACTCTGTTTGTGCCGGGGGACTGGATCTTTGGGACGAACCAGTCTTTGCCGTAATGAATTTTGGGGTTTAAAAGCCACTGGGATGTTGTGTTTAGAAAATAAACATATCAGTTTCTCTGATACTCCCTCAACATATGGAATGACCACTGGTCTGTGTCTGGGTTCCTCCTTTTCACCTGATAGCTGACTGGAGTCCTGTTTGGGTTTCTTCTCTGCTTTCAGGAAGGCCCAGTTA